GTGCTGAGTGCAGCGGATTGAGTTGGACCGTTGGGTCCCTCCCCTGAGGAGTGGGCCTTCGGTCTATTTTTCCGCCCTGGTGCAGGAGCTCTTGGGAGAGGCATCCTACAGGTGCGGTACATATATGTGTGTTTGATCGGTCTGGTAGTCTACATCAGGAGCTCTTGGGAGAGGCGTCCTGTGACTACGGTTGACCTACGATTGGTGTTACGTGGGGGCGTCCTTGGTAGGAGTGGCCCGGTAACACGCTTTGTTTCTTCTGCCCTGAGTCCTCTCACGGTGTGAGGGTCTTGCTCGGGCGGAGCTCCAATCACCCTTCGCTGGCCTGCTGGGAGTACATGTTCCTACGGCCTCCGCGTTGTGTCCCACTAGCGAAGTCCTAAGGGACGTAGCACCATGACGTAGAATTAATAGTTACCTAATGTAACTTAAGTTCTACGAATAGGTGCGTAGTCCCTTAGCTACGAGCCCATCAGGCCAGCCCGGCTTGGCAGAGTTCAAGAGGGGGTGCGGCCTTGTGCAGGGGCATTTATAGAGGAAGGTGGCTGGTGATTGGAGCAAATTATTTTGATCTCTCTGGCGTCTGTGACCTGGGGGTCACGTGATATCCCACTAGCGAAGTCCTAAGGGACTACGCACCTATTCGTAGAACTTAAGTTACATTAGGTAACTATTAATTATAATTTTATCATTACTAACTCTGTTATAATGAACTGATTAATATCATGGGGACAATAAATGTTTATACTGGCGATAGTACTGATACTTTGGCTTCTAGATGAACGAATACTAGTCAAGGGAAGGACATTTTTCACAATCACAAAATGAAGCCACGGGCGACAGTAGTTCAGTTGGTAGAGCATTGGCCTTAAGGCCAGAAGGTCGTGGGTTCAATTCCCACCTCTGCACCTTCTCCATCGACTCCCACTGATGTCTGCTGTCGTTGTGTCCTTGGGCAAGACACTTAACCCCACTTTGCCCAAAGCCCCCACTGAAAGATCAAGGCTATGCTCACACTCAGAGAGCAGCCGTCCTCCTGTGGACTCACCACCTGCAGAGGGTCAGTGAGGGGCTGGTGCTATGAGACTTGGGTGGCATCTCTGACTGCCACCCCCCTGACCCAGAAATGGATTAAAGGGAAGAAAATGGATGGATGGATGGATGGACAAAATGAAGCCTATTGTGTTTTTACTGTCCTAAGTAACAACAGAATAACTGTCACTGTCACTTTCATTTAAATTTATTTTCTGTGACAATCTGTAAATTACATCAAATTATAGGTCTAATTAGGATAATGGAACTCGTATCATCCAACCAATGCTCGATCCGTTCTCGCCACCAATACCAGTCACATATGGGCATACTCAACATAAGCTAGGACGATAAACACATCATATTTAGCCATGTTGAACATTTGACATCATTTATAACTACATCACACAAAGAAATAGCAAAGATCTGTCCACCTTGGATTTGTATTTATTGTGAATGAAAAAGGGGTTGAGTACACCCGCTTGCATCACAAAAAGTAAAGGTTTTTATTTGTCATAATAATGTGGCTTTTGAAGACGAGATTCCATGATCAAATACCAGGTGTTTTAACCATATTCATACAACCAGGAGTAAAACAACACACATTCACAAGCACAACCATGTACGTCTCTCTTTAGACCAAATTATTCAAATGTGAATCCAAAATGTCCAATTTGGTGAAAGAAACAATGAGAATTCTGAGATGCTCCAAAAACAGTTGTTGGTCTTGTGATTTGTGTCTCTTGGAGAGAGAGTTCCAGTTAAACATAAAATGTCAGACAATCAGGCAGTTTTCCAATAAGTCTTTTTATCAGAAAAAATATGATCAGCCCTGGATAGTGTCTGATTCATGATGTGCAGAACTAAAACACTACAATTACTGTTTGACTTTGCACACCTGGTTTAGCGCCTGGATTGAGTAGTAGTAATCTTTATTTATATACCGCCTTTTCACTGCAGATCTGAGTCTCAAAGCGGTTTACAATTGTTAATTTTGGGCATTTGTCTCTCACTCCACACAGAGATGGGAGCAGGGCCAGTACAGGAGGCGCATGCCAGAACTATTGTACATGTTTTTAGTGGTAGGGGAAACCGGAGCACCCGGAGGAAACCTACAGACACGGGGAGAACATGCAAACTCCACTAAGAAAGGCCCTGGTCCTGAGAGGCAAGAGTGCTATCCATCCATCAGTGATGCGTGTGGGGAAAAGGAAAAGATCAAGGCAAGTTTTGGGTTCATACACAAACAGTGCTCATGGATGAAGTTTGGCTCCAGCTCGCTCTGGCTCCTATTGATTGATATTGAAAAGTAAGTTCAGGATCATCATTTTAAAACTAACATATATTTCTTATAAAGTAGTGTTGGGAATTTGTCCAGTCAATCTATAGCTCGTCTGTTTGTCAATGTGGGCCTGCCCGAGGTTTCTCCCTTTTCTCGCATGGGTTTTTAGAGTTTTTCCTTTGCCGATGCAGAGGGTTTATCAACACTCAGACATCGGTCATCTGCCCTTTTGGCTCTATGTGTTTTCATCATTGCATTTCTTGTGTTTGAACAGTTTTGTGGAGTTCTTTGAGATAACTAGTGTTGTGATTTAGGGCTATACAAAAATACATTGAATTACATAGAATTGAAATTATAAAGCGGTGCCTTCAGTCAGACCCCATCAGCCAATATATCAGAATATAATCACCCATTTCTACAAGTGATGAGAAAGATTGTTCATTCTAGTAATCTCTGATTCATTTCACATTAATGTCACACTCTAATCCCAGTCGGGCCGTAGTAAATATTCACAGGCTTAAATTAAAGGTCCACACAAATACTGCATCTTACTTCTTATTTGAATCACTGTATACCTGCTCAGCTAAACAGACAATAGACTTTCTCTCACGTCCCGCATGCATTCGGCCCGTGCTTTGTCGCGTGTTTCTTTCCTAATATTCTTTCAGTCTTGTTTGCACATTTTTAATAATGCTTCACTAGGTTCCGGCTCAGAAATTAGTTTTTCCACTGAGGGTGTCACCGCCGGGCAACACTCTAGTACTGTATTAATGTGTCCGTGAAGAGCAAAGATTAGCAGGTCTGTCAGCGCTGGTCGGGACAGGGCGCGTAGTCAGGTGGAATGTGCTGTTGGTATAATGGGCCCCAGTGTTTTGTGCTGGAAATCAGTGTGTGTGTGTTTGTGTGTGTGTGTGTGTGTGTGTGTGTGTGTGTGTGTGTGTGTGCAAGACCAGATAAGCAAATTTACTGAGAGGAAAGAAATGTGTAGTTAAAGAAACCTTCTATTTGCCATGTCAATTTAGATTCTGAATTGCAAGCTCTAGATAGATGGAGCTAGATAGATTTTTGCTTACCCTTGTTTACTTGTGCCATGTAGTAGAATAGGATGCGTCTAAAAAAATAAACATTTTCTGGAGACCATATCAATCTTTAAATGTATCATTATTATTATAATTTATTTTAGATTACCTTGCTTTTTTTACTTTCCCTTATAATTCACTTTAATTAAACTTTAATTCATCAATAAATGAAATGTATAGTAAAAGCATTGTGGGCCAAAAGTCTTCCATAAATAATAAATACATGTTGCTTTTCCGAACAAAAACAACTTTTCAATCTAGTTTCTAGTTAGAAAACATGTTGTCTTTTGCATTCTTGTAACAAAGAGCCCTGTGAGTCACTATTTGACACTTTGGGCTGAAAAAGAGGTTGGCCTTCTCTTTTTCACTTCTGCATTTGAGAAGTCTGATCTAATGATACAAAAGAAGCCAAAGATACATGTATGACAGAACCAAACTGTTTTGAGAGCGAGGAACAAGTGACATGGATTTGTTCACTCTTCACTAGTGGGATGTGAACCTTTACACTGTTTCTATTTCACTTATTTTGTTTTTTATCTTTTGTCACTTTCAAATGTGGCCAATGTTGCCATATAATTTGTTCTGGTTTGAGCAACTACTGTATGTCCAAGTCATTTCCCTAATGGATCAATAAAGTTTGTCTAAGTCTAAAGTTTGGTTCCCTAGTTTGAAAACAACTTTTCTTAGAGATTTGCTTTGTAAAGGAGAAAACGCCCTTCCAACTGTGACAAGGACGAACAACCAAAAGGACTTGATTGGAAACTAAGGCCCTGTCCACACGAAGTCAAGCTCAGGCCTAAACGCAAAAATACTTTATCAATCCAGTGTATCGTCCATACGAGGCCGGCGTTTTGGGGGGGTGTAAACGAACATTTTTGAAACTAGGTCCCAGAGTGGAAAGATTTCAAAACTCCGTATATGCCGCTCCGTGGTTACTGCCTCTCCGCAATGTATCTGAGACGCTTGCGTCATCGCCCCGCCTCTTGTTAAAGCACGCATGCGCCGCACTCAGAAAATAATGACAACAACAATGTAGCTTGTTGGTTTTGTAATCCAGTGTGACCCGAAGCAACAGTTCAACCTCATCGTCCGTCCATACTAATGTAGTACCAGCTCGCCCACTCGCCATGTTGTCTGTTTACAAAATTCCGCGCATTCCCAGTTCCCGTCACGGAAGTTTGGGCTTGATCCCGTCATTGCGTCACAGCGCCACCAACAGGTCTGGCATAGTTTCACAGCGTTTTCAGGCGTATTGACTACATTCATATGGACGCACACATTTACTGAGCTAACTCCGTGTTTACAGAAAAAGTTTCTGAAATTATAAGCGTTTTGTCTTCGTGTGGATATAGCCTTAATTGGCCAAATACTCACTAGACTCATTTGATACTTGAACACTCGTGGCTTGTTGTTACCACACAGAATGAGTTGTATGTTGTGTACAGGCTGATTTTACTTTTACTATTGAAATAACCCCTGCCCTTAATATAACCTTCAAAAAACACCAATAGTCTAGGACTGAGGGAGGGAGGCTGTCTGAAAAAGCTGGGGCTGTCTGAAAAGATGAGGCAGAAAATACATTATATGAATATTAGTCTAGGCTTTCTATGGGCAAACAGCAAAAAGAATACAAGGTATGGAGCAATGGACTGAAGTAGTGGTATTTATTGTGTGATTAAAAGCATAAAAAAACGCTCAATCCCCAAGTCAAATGTTATTTTTATTTTTGAATACATACATTTTTTTTTTTTGAAGTGCAATTCTTTTTGGGTCTGACACATTCAGCTCCATGCAAATGTATTGGTGCCAGGGTACAGAACGTATTTTGCTTCATTGATAATACTTTTTTGGATTTGTCAAACCAAAGCGTTTTCACTTGCTTCTGTCTGAAAAAGCAACATGGATATTATTACAGAGTTTAATATTTCGGGATTGCAACTTTGGTCGATTGGAAGAAATGACATTAATGGAGCGCCAGGACATGTTTTTTGGGGGATGCTCCTCCACAATCACCCGTTTGTCCTGTTTTTGTGCAGAACTCCATCCGCCACAACCTGTCCCTGCACAGCCGCTTCGTGCGCGTGCAGAACGAAGGCACCGGGAAGAGCTCCTGGTGGATGCTGAACCCGGAGGGAGGCAAGAGCGGCAAGTCCCCCCGACGCAGAGCCGCCTCCATGGACAACAACAGCAAGTTCAGCAAGAGCAGAGGCCGCGCCGCCAAGAAGAAGGTCCTCACACTGTCCTTACACTGTCCTTACACTGTCCTCTGTCCTCACACTGTCCTTACACTGTCCTCACACTGTCCTTACACTGTCCTCACACTGTCCTCACACTGTCCTTACACTGTCCTTACACTGTCCTCTGTCCTCACACTGTCCTTACACTGTCCTCTGTCCTCACACTGTCCTTACACTGTCCTCACACTGTCCTTACACTGTCCTCACACTGTCCTCTGTCCTTACACTGTCCTTACACTGTCCTCACACTGTCCTTAAACTGTCCTCACACTGTCCTTACACTGTCCTCACACTGTCCTCACACTGTCCTTACACTGTCCTCACACTGTCCTTACACTGTCCTTACACTGTCCTCACTCTGTCCTCACACTGTCCTCACACTGTCCTCACACTGTCCTTACACTCTGTCCTCACACTGTCCTCACACTGTCCTCATGTCCTCACACTGTCCTCTGTCCTCACACTGTCCTCACACTGTCCTTACACTGTCCTCACACTGTCCTTACACTGTCCTCACACTGTCCTTACACTGTCCTCACTCTGTCCTCACTCTGTCCTCACTCTGTCCTCACACTGTCCTCACACTGTCCTCACACTGTCCTCACTCTGTCCTCACTCTGTCCTCACTCTGTCCTCACTCTGTCCTTACACTGTCCTTACACTGTCCTTACACTGTCCTCATGTCCTCACACTGTCCTTACACTGTCCTCATGTCCTCACACTGTCCTTACACTGTCCTCATGTCCTCACACTGTCCTTACACTGTCCTCACTCTGTCCTCACACTGTCCTTACACTGTCCTTACACTGTCCTCACTCTGTCCTCACACTGTCCTCTGTCCTCACACTGTCCTTACACTGTCCTTACACTGTCCTCATGTCCTCACACTGTCCTTACACTGTCCTCATGTCCTCACACTGTCCTCACACTGTCCTTACACTGTCCTCACTCTGTCCTCATGTCCTCACACTGTCCTTACACTGTCCTTACACTGTCCTCATGTCCTCACACTGTCCTTACACTGTCCTCACTCTGTCCTCACACTGTCCTCACACTGTCCTTACACTGTCCTTACACTGTCCTCATGTCCTCACACTGTCCTCACACTGTCCTTACACTATCCTTACACTGTCCTTACACTGTCCTTACACTGTCCTTACACTGTCCTTACACTGTCCTCACTCTGTTCTCACTCTGTTCTCACTCTGTCCTCACACTGTCCTTACACTGTCCTCACTCTGTCCTCACACTGTCCTCTGTCCTCACACTGTCCTTACACTGTCCTTACACTGTCCTCACTCTGTCCTCACACTGTCCTTACACTGTCCTTACACTGTCCTCACACTGTCCTTACACTGTCCTTACACTGTCCTCACTCTGTCCTCACACTGTCCTTACACTGTCCTTACACTGTCCTCACTCTGTCCTCACACTGTCCTTACACTGTCCTCACACTGTCCTCACACTGTCCACTGTCCTCACACTCTGTCCTCACACTGTCCACTGTCCTCTGTCCTCACACTGTCCTCACTCTGTCCTCACACTGTCCTTACACTGTCCTTACACTGTCCTTACACTGTCCTCACTCTGTCCTCACACTGTCCTCACACTGTCCTCTGTCCTCACACTGTCCTCACTCTGTCCTCACACTGTCCTTACACTGTCCTCACTCTGTCCTCACACTGTCCTCACTCTGTCCTCACACTGTCCTCACACTGTCCTTACACTGTCCTCATGTCCTCACACTGTCCTCACACTGTCCTTACACTGTCCTCATGTCCTCACACTGTCCTCACACTGTCCTCGCTGTCAGAACAGAGCTGCGTGTGCTCCAAGTCAAATATGAGATAAGATAAAACGTTATTGATCTCACAATGTAGAAAGGTACATGTTACATCTGGCATAAATAGGATCACTCAGGGATCTCTCGGGGATCTCTCGGGGATCTCTCGGGGATCTCTCGGGGATCTCTCGGGGTGTGCGAAAGACAGGAAATGTGCATGTTAAAAAGTGAAAAGATGTCTTTTGTGCAATGATATAAATAAAATAGGTATTTTATTAAATTCTGAAGATATCCTAAAACCACATGGCTAAAGATTCCCGTGAGTTCATTAATGAATTACCTTAATTATCAACTTTGATGAACACCAGAGGCTAGAAGATCTCATCGTGAGCTGTCACGACTAATTACACTGGGTAACAAAAAAATATTTTTTGAAAATAGTCCAGGGTTTATCAGCTGAATTAGACTACTGTTGATGTCTAATTCAGACATCAACATTAATGCTCAATCAGGTCAGGATTTTTTGCTACAGAAATATTTTTTTAAATCGATTTTGCGTAAACAAATTTCTGCGGATCATCAGCTGAGAAACCCTTGACGTTTTTTCTGTTTTCCTCAAGAAATAAAAGTCAACGTATCCAAAGTCATTCAGTTTTTATTTACCCCATCAAATTTGATAAACAGAATTCATAATAACGTAGACGTACATAATCTGTAACACTATGGCTGTATCTCACACAGTTGACCTGATAGAGACAAATGCATGTGATATTCAGACTCAGAACACCAACATTAGTCTGAATCAGGTGAGAAACCCCTGAGCATTTTTTGGCTGTCAACTTGTGTAATTATTCATGAGGATTAAACAAATAACCAGAATATCATGAAGATAACTGAACTCATCATGAACTAATGGATGAATACATGAATGTTTTCACTTAAACTGAGTGTGCTCTTGTGTCATGTTCCCTCGTGAAAAACAGACCTGCAGTTTGTCCATGCTCACGACTGGAATGATTGGCACTAACCTGTTTTTTTTCATTATAGCTCATTTCCTTCTGGTTTAAAAACACCATAGATGTAAAGGGGCCATACATGAGTGGAGGCCTCAGTTCCAGATCACCTCCAAATTGTAATAATTTGTGACTGATCCCATTTCTCAGCTTTGAATCATGTGAAATAACAAACACGTGTACTTACAGTGCCTTGCGAAAGTATTCGGCCCCCTTGAACCTTTCAACATTTCGCCACATTTCAGGCTTCAAACATAAAGATATAAAAAAAATATTTTTTGTCAAGAATCAACAACAAGTGGGACACAATCGTGAAGTGGAACGAAATGTATTGGATAATTTAAACTTTTTTAACAAATAAAAAACTGAAAAGTGAGGCGTGCAATATTATTCGGCCCCCTTGCGCTAATACTTTGTAGCGCCACCTTTTGCTGCAATTACAGCTGCAAGTCGCTTGGGGTATGTCTCTATCAGTTTTGCACATCGAGAGACTGCAATTCTTGCCCATTCTTCCTTGCAAAACAGCTGGAGCTCAGTGAGGTTGGATGGAGAGCGTTTGTGAACAGCAGTCTTCAGCTCTTTCCACAGATTCTCGATTGGATTCAGGTCTGGACTTTGACTTGGCCATTCTAACACCTGGATACGTCTATTTGTGAACCATTCCATTGTAGATTTGGCTTTATGTTTTGGATCATTGTCCTGTTGGAAGATAAATCTCCGTCCCAGTCTCAGGTCTTTTGCAGACTCCAACAGGTTTTCTTCCAGAATGGTCCTGTATTTGGCTCCATCCATCTTCCCATCAATTTTAGCCATCTTCCCTGTCCCTGCTGAAGAAAAGCAGGCCCAAAGCATGATGCTGCCACCACCATGTTTGACAGTGGGGATGGTGTGTTCAGGGTGATGAGCTGTGTTGCTTTTACGCCAAACATATCGTTTTGCATTGTGGCCAAAAAGTTCGATTTTGGTTTCATCTGACCAGAGCACCTTCTTCCACATGTTTGGTGTGTCTGCCAGGTGGCTTGTGGCAAACTTTAAACCAGACTTTTTATCATCCAGTTCATCCAGAGTGATCATGGGCCTCTTGGCTGCATCTCTGATCAGTCTTCTCCTTGTTTGAGATGAAAGTTTGGAAGGACGGCCGGGTCTTGGTAGATTTGCAGTGGTCTGATACTCCTTCCATTTCAATATAATTGCTTGCACAGTGCTCCTTGAGATGTTTAAAGCTTGGGAAATCTTTTTTTATCCAAATCCGGCTTTAAACTTCTCCACAACAGTATCTCGGACCTGCCTGGTGTGTTCCTTTGTCTTCATGGTTCTCTCTGTGCTTTAAACAGAACCCTGAGACTATCAAAGAGCAGGTGCATTTATACGGAGACTTGATTACACACAGATGCATTCTATTTATCATCATCAGTCATTTAGGACAACATTGGATCATTCAAAGGTCCTCACTGAACTTCTGGACTGAGTTTGCTGCACTGAAAGTAAAGGGGCCCAATAATATTGCACGCCCCACTTTTCAGTTTTTTATTTGTTAAAAAAGATTAAATTATCCAATAAATTTCGTTCCACTTCGCGATTGTGTCCCACTTGTTGATGATTCATGACAAAAAATTAAAATTTTATATCTATGTTTGAAGCCTGAAATGTGACGAAATGTTGAAACTGTACATTACCCCTCACTGAGCTCATATTCACAAGTAATGATCCAACTTTTCATGAGAAAAAGAATCCTTTAGGGAACCGACATTTCAGACTCAGTAGGTCCTCCTCAGATCAGGAAGCGCTCGCACACTGCTGTTCTTTGTGGAGAGCCAAAATCTAATTTCTGGTATTGTGCTTCAGAAGTGTCTTTTTGGGGATCAAACAGTTACTCCTACCTTTGTTTGCTGAATATGATGATACGAAATAGTGTTCATTTGAGAAGGCAAAGAAATAAATGTAATCATCCCAGCAAGTTACATGTAAAGAGGAAAAATGTAATCAGTTTCGCACTCGTGGTTACAGGGGTTAATAAACAAGATTCAGATATAAAAAGCAAAACCAAACGTATAGACTCCAACCCCATGTACAACAGTATCCACGGTGAAACAAGTACAAACAACAAGGACTAACGAACACTGCCGACCTGAGCTCACGTGTTGTGCATCTGTGCAATCATTGGAAATAATGTCAGATAATGTCAATAGCGTCAGTGTCCTGCGTCAGTGTACTGCGTCAGTGTCCTGCGTCAGTGTCCTGCGTCAGTGTCCTGCGTCAGTGTACTGCGTCAGTGTCCTGCGTCAGTGTCTTGCGTCAGTGTACTGCGTCAGTTTTCTGCGTCAGTGTACTGCGTCAGTGTCCTGCGTCAGTGTCCTGCGTCAGTGTCTTGCGTCAGTGTACTGCGTCAGTTTTCTGCGTCAGTGTACTGCGTCAGTGTCCTGCGTCAGTGTCCTGCGTCAGTGTACTGCGTCAGTGTCCTGCGTCAGTGTCCTGCGTCAGTGTCCTGCGTCAGTGTCCCAGAGCCTCCTGCTGCTGCGTGTACGGATGTAAACATTAAACTATATCATAGTTGCACTAGAATACACAGCCTTCTATACTTGCCTCTTTATTATGCTAAAGTTTATAAAGGATTCCATAATCTTAATCTGGGTCCTTGTGCACAGCTGTCCATGCAGGGCGGTCCGGACGGGGGCGCGGACAGTCCCGGCTCCTATTCCAAGTGGCCGGGGAGCCCCAACTCCCACAGCAACGATGACTTTGATGCCTGGAACAGCTTCAGACCCAGAGCCAGCTCCAACGCCTCCTCCCTGAGCGGCCGCCTGTCTCCCTTCGTGCCCGAGGACGACCTGGGCGAGGCCGATCACATGGGGTACCCTGGACCCCCCGCCGCCAAGATGACCGCCACGCTGCCGAGCCTGTCCGAGATGACTGGCTCTCTGGGACACAGCACGGAGAACGTCATGGAGAACCTTCTGGACAACCTCAACCTGCTCTCGCCAAATAACTCCCAGGTCTGTTCCCTCTCTCTGCTCTCTGTGTCTTTGTAAGAAACCAAGTTATGTCTCTTGAAAATCTGAAAAAGAAATCATCACATCATATTATAGAGAGAGTCTTTATCTTTTAACCACGACAATTGTCAACATTAGACATGACGTCCACTTGTACAGCCGACCTATCACACGGCCTGTCTTGGTTTACAGTTGACGTTGATCTTGGGCTCTTAATTACATTTCAGATCAATATTGAACAGATAACAAATGTCATGTATATTAAAAAAGTCATTCTATGTCCTGGAGACACCAAAGGGTTTTGCTATTTTGCAGTTTGCACTTATGCGTCCCTATTCATGTATGTAAACTTTCTCGGGTTGAAAAGCTGTGTTGTACAATGTGTGTCCAGCCAAAGGAAAAGGCATTTTCAGTTATTCAGTTTCTGAAAGTGTAGATTGGAAAGTGGCTTTGTGAGAATACACAGTTTTTTTTTTTGTCAAGTTAATTATTCAATCAGAAAGCTGAATGCTCTTTTGGGTTGCCAGTTAGAGTGGTCGAATTTCTTTTAGCCAAAGCCATCATGAACTACATTTGTAGGTTAAAACACTTGCGACACTATTTAAGTGGAGGCTGTTCTTTTGTCTTGAATATATTCAATAACCAATAACACATTAGTTACACCACTAAAGTATGAACTTCCTACTTCCAGGTCGGAGGCGGGAATACAACTCCTTGCTCCTCCCAGTCATCACCTTCTCCCATGATGCAACAGAGCCCTGGCTATCCTTCGTACAGTTCGCCGAGCATGGTGTCCCAACCGCAGCAGGAAGTGTACCGGAAGTGCGGGGGGTACGTCCAGGCGGGGATGGGAAGCCTGCCGCCCATGCCTCTGCAGAGCGTTCCCGAGACCAAGAACGCGTTCGTCTCCGCCATGGGACAGTACGGCTGCACGGCGGGACTGCTGAAGGAGCTCCTCACCTCGGACACAGACCAACACGCAGATCTCATGCCGTCGGTGGAGAGCGTGGTGTCGCAGTCCATGCTCCCGCCTTACAGCAGCAGCCAGCACAAGATCATGGGGCTCAACGGCCACCCCTGTCTGCAGCCCCCCCACATGCACAGCCAGCCCCCCGCCATGAACGCACGGATGCTCATGTCGCTCAACCCAAACCGCCTGCCCTCGGTCAAAACCCCCATGCACATGCCGTACGGCCTGCACCACGCCGTAGGAGGCTTTCCCGGGAGCTTTTGTCCCCTGAATACCAACGGTTACGGAAGGCCAGGACCCCCGCCACCTTTGCACGCGGAGAAACTGCCCAGCGATCTGGACGACATGTCGATCGAGAGGTTTGAGTTTGACATGGAGACGGTCCTTCATGACACTTTGATGGATGGAGACTCTCTGGACTTTAACTTTGAGCCGGTGGTCGGTCAGCAAGGGTTCCCTCATGGCGTGAAGACCACCACCCACAGCTGGGTGTCAGGGTGAAAAGGCGGCAAGGACATTTTTGGAGAGGGGGACTTTTCTGCATCTCATCGACATTTCATCACCTCAGCAAGGACTTCTACAGGCCCCAGAACTGTTAAATTTGAATTATATTTTGGGTAAACTCAAAATAAAGTGCCAAACATGCTTGCCTTAAAAGAAAGCCAAACAAAAGTTTTTTCAAGGGTTGAATTACTACAACATCTGAAGTTGTAAAGCCTTGTTTCCACCAATTTAAACATGATTAAAGGGCATTTATTTATGTAATTCCTCCTCCAGCTCCTCCAGCAACATTTGCTAGAGGAGAATAGTTACACTTATCACAAGGAACCTCACTGATTTGAATTATTTTCAGTCTCAAATATCTCAATATTACGACCAAGTTTCATTCTCTTTCAATTTCAAAATTAGTGAGATTCACTTTAAAGCAATCTCTGCTCTATTGCAGTTCGATTTGATTTCATTTTTCCAATGAAAATGCTTTTGAAACTTTCTTCTGTCTTCGAGCAAGAATCCAAATGGAACTCCCTGATTATGAACTGTTTGGTGGAAACATGGCTTGAAACCAATACCAGCTTATACTTCATCAGCAACAAGCACAATCGGCAGGTCGTGCTGTTTACGTCTCCACTACAGACTGGTTCTGAAGGTGATCTTTGGGCGTGGGCGGTGCGCTAAGTGGCACTTCTTATGGGATGATGTGACGTAACTTCATGTCGTTCCTAGATATATAAACGCCGCTGTCTGATGAACCATTTTTCTTGTAAGCGCCACGATTGTAGATAGTGTTTACAAAGCAAAAATCAAGGCAGCAGAAATCAAAACTGGACGCATTTATTTCAAAGCCTTTTATTTTTAAGTAGAATCTCACAAAGATCAGATATGTGTACATATATTTTAAAGTTATGTAGTGGATGTTTATAGATTGATTATATATTTGAGAGCTAAATTATTTGTGTAGAAAGTGTTTTGTCTCAACCTGTAAACCTTAAAACCACAGGGGCCTATTTATTGTGCCTAACATAGCGGATCAGGCTTGAAGGCGTTTTCATGTAAATATTGGCGATCTAGAAGATCCTCAGTTGTTTTGAAGTAACAACTAACTGAAATGGCCTCTGCGTCACCTTTTGTTCAGAAGTTGACAGTTGGGCTTTCCCACACTTGGAGGCCCAGTGAATGTTCAGGTGAGGGGGGGCCAGGGGCGGGGCCACTGGAGCCTCACACACTGTGAGCCTGTCCCTTTACGCATCGCGTCTGTGCTGTGAGGAGTCACACAAGCCTAGTGTGACGGATGTGTCTTTATGACATGCCCCTCCTACCTCTCTCCAAATGTTTTTGATGAACATGTGACTTTTTAGCACCAATGTTTTTTATAATGTCCGGTCTTAATTGTTTTCTATGTTGTTCTTAAAAAGCGCCACTAAGTGTTAAGTATTGCTTGTAAATGTGCATTTCAGACTTGCCTTTTCTCACTGCTGTACGATCTGCCAGACCGTGTGTGACCACACAGTCACAACTAGTGTAAAAATAAGAAAAATGTTAAGTTTAAAAAAAACTGCCTTTTCAAGCTAAATTTGTGTCAGCTTTTATGCAAATTTATTTAAATATGTTAACCCTTTAGGCGCCAACGCTGCAGCATTGCTACATGAATCCAGGCCACTTTCTATGCAGCAACCTGGCTTTCATTTATTTCTGTTGTTGGTTTTATTCGTCCTCTATTTCTTATGAAGTGTCAGGGTTCCTTCTTTTGTTTGTTTCACATCACATTTATGACATTTCTGGCGCTTAAAGGGTTAAAACATCCTATGCGTATTTGTAAAATGGTACAATATTAGATGGAAATGAGTGTAACTGGTGGATAATAATAATCTTTATTTGAACTGAGTGACTCCAGCCTCGGCTGCAAAATGAAGCCAATCTGTTATAAATGGAATCCCGAAAAAGGATTAAAAATAGCTCCTTTTCTTCTCTCCAATCATAGCAAACTTGTTAAAAAATGGGTCCAATGGTGTTTGAAGAGAAGATTTTGGTTGTATTAATGTCAATTCGTATTAGTCTTTCCTCGCACCAATGAAAAGCCTGATCAGGATATCCACCTCTGGATTGGTGCATCCCAAGCCACATTCTTGAAATAGTCCTTTGTACCATTTTACTCTTACTTACTTTCATCAGGATAATGTGAATAAGTAGAATATATCATATATGATACACATTTCGATCATTTCTGCTGAGAAGCCATCTTAAGCTGCTGTCCGCCTTTGGTGCCACATGCTGCCATTTCCTCACATGTTCTGGTGTAGCCAAATCAGCCTTTTTTAAAGTACAGTCATATATCTAGAGCATTTTATCATGTCAGAAGTTCCGATTGATGTAAATATATATCATAAATATATATATAGTTGTGCCGGTCACTCAAGTTTGAATAAGTGTAAGGAACCGAGTCGTCCATGTCACGGGGCGCTCATATTTACGAGGATAAATCTATGCATTGTTTATCATCATTTTGTGGCAGAGCTTTCTTTTATTCAGAGATAGTTTATTGTAATATAGAGCTGTGAGATTCTATGGTCTTGTTCTTGTTCTTGTTCTTGTCCAAACTCTATGTTCCAGATAGTTCTATGGAGGAATATGAAGTTATTGTAGAGACTAAACAGCTGATGATTGATATGCTAAGCTTTTGTAAACTGACAATGGTGTATTTCTTGTATTTAGCTACATTTTTTAGAAATAGCCTTAAAAAGCAATTTGTAAAAATATATATTGCCTTTCTAACACAATAGAGACATATTTAATCTGTCGGAGAAATCCTGGACCAAGTTTTATAATTTTTCAGAATAGAAAGTTATTGCACATTTGCTTACATTTTATAACAAAGTGCTCCTTGTTTTAAAACGTTCTGTTACATTAACTTATATACAGAATTAATTGGAACTGTGTTCTGTGATTTGCAATCAAAAGAATATGTACCTTGTTCGATATTACTGTTTTGAGACTTAAATAAATGTACTTCTGTGTATAAAATATACACGTTTTCTGTCATCTTTCCAATAGAATGAGGAAGACTGGGCCATACGTTATTTGTGCTTTCATCTACTTTAGACCATATATATCAATCATGAAAAAAGCTCAACAACTAAAATTTGAATTACATTTTTAATTTTGATCCCAAACGCTGTACAGACACTTTCATCTAAATTATAGATGTTGTTCCTTTTTGAAAACACTTTGTTGACTGCTCTGTTGCATACTACTGGGCTCAATACAGAGCCGAGAAGCAGTGGTTAGAAAAAACTTTCTCCTGACCTTCTTTTCACCATTTTCACAGTTCTCACATCTTCAATTCAAAGCTTCACTGCAAGAAGATCCTGGGTTCGTTTCCACCTCCAAACGGAGCCGTTCTGTGCGGAGTTTGAAGTAGACATTTGTGATCAGAGATAAGACGCTCTTCCAACCTGCCAGTGTTCACTCAGACCAAATTTAACAGTGAAATATTCCAACTACAATCCTCCTTTTGTTCTGTAAGCGGTCGACTAAGATGTGAGATCATATGTTTGAATCCCTGCTCTTTCTGCAGTGGTTTGACACAGATCTTTTAGTCTAAACAAAATAACCTAGATTGTTTGACTATTGTCCAAGTTCACCTCAAGAGTTAAACTCAGTCTTTCTGAACCCATGATATCTGGATGTCCTGCAACTTTGCAGAGAAGCAGAGCCATACATTTGAGCTACAGTATACAGATGGATAATGCTAACCCAAGAGCTCCTATTGACTTACATTGAAAAGTAAACTCCTCTAGCTCACCAACAGTCAGCGTCACACTCACTATTCTGGACTTTAAATATCTGTGGTTTAGTGTTCTGTTTGATCCTGGTTTTAGTTTGATATTTTATTTGTATCTCCAGATATAGAGCCATAACAATTTACCAATCAGATGCCTTCAGAACAAATGCCCGTATAAGGAAATTGGCTCCAGCTAGCTTATGTTCAAATATATATTCTCCATATACGGCAAATGGTGACATCAGCACTCTTCACTTTTCACTGACACCTCCTCAAGGGGGTGGAGCTATGTGGCCCAAGGGAACTGAAGATGAAGCTATAACATAATTTCAACTCTATCAAACATTTCATTTGAACCACATATTTAGTAAAGAGCCAACGGTCATATAATATATAAAAAATAATAATATAATATAACACAATCAGGTTTTGTTCCCCTTAAGGCAATATCAGCAACAATAAACTATGACCATGGGATGTTGTAATCTGTACAATCTGTTTCAACAAGAATATATTTAAAACAGTCCTTCATCTTGGCATAGCTAATACCAGTTAGATTTGCTGGAGAATAGTCAAGGCACAAGCCAAACCTAAAGCCCAGTTATATTGGGCCTAGGCCCAGCTTGGGACTGGATCCGAGCTTTAGGCCTAGCGTACATTGGACTGGCAACTGATAATATCCGTCGCATATGAGTTGCTGCCCCGCACACATCGACAATCTGACGAAAACGGGCAACTCCCAGTAGCAGACCAGTCTGGGGAATAACAGCGCGTACATCGACAGCAACTGGCCTCAACTACAGTGTGTTTTCTGACATAAACTGTAGAGGGCGCAATACACGCAATACACACATGTTGTTGGAGCACATCGGTGATATCACCGGATCTGAGGACAACTAGTAGAAAAGTAGAAAACGGGCAACTGACTGAAACTGGAGATCGACTGTTTATCTCCATTTGTAAGAGCGCTCACATGAGTCGCCAAAAGCCGCCGTGCAACTAGTTGTCTCCAGTCACTCTGTCGATGTACGCTAGGCTTTAGATGCCGAAGTGACCGCAGCAAATGGGCCTGAGCACGGTTGTACAGCCCAGATAAGGGGGGTCGATGTGGGGGGGTGAGGTGTGTTGGGGACGTGACGCTTGTCTTACACCTTTCATGTAGCCCCTGGACCGTGGTCGAGGGGGGCAGGGGAGATCTGTGGCTCCAGGGCCAAAGGGATGGGTTTCCTACGGGGGATAACTACCTTCTGTTCTGACCCTCGCTGTCACAGTTTGGTGCTATTGCAAAAAGACTTCAAACTTTTACTCAAGAGTCAGATTTTATTTTCTCGCCAAAACACACCAATATTCACTTGTACCCACTAAGCTGCTGTACATTGTAGAAAAACACACCTCACACTTGTTCACATTGACTCTGATTGCAAAGAACGCGACCCATGGTTGGCTCACAGTAGCCAGGCCGCTTGGCCTAGTTCATTTGTGAAAACCTATGTGATCGTGCCCTGAACCAACGACGAGGAACATCAAGGATCTGAATAAATAACGACGATACAACGATACTGCTTTTGTCTGGAGGGGCCTACGGGAGATCACCAACTACAAACCCAAAGCCCCCCCCCTGTGCTGACGACCACAAGCTAGCTGACGATCTGAACTTATTTTTCAGTTGCTTTGATGCTGCCCCTGACACCTCTCCCTCCCCCACCCCCCACTACTCTAACGACCCACCCATCAGCCCTGCCCCAGCCTAACAATAGCCGCTAAAGAGATTAAACAACTCTTCTTGAGGCTGCACCCCCGCAAAGCTCCTGGCCCGGACCACGTGTCTCCGGCCACTCTGAGACACTGCCCCAGTGAGCTTACTCCTGTGTTCACTGACATTTTCAACACCTCTCTGCAGTCCTGCCATGTCCCGGCCTGCTTCAAATCCTCCATCATTGTCCCCGTCCCGAAGAAGCCCAGGATCACAGGACTCAACGACTACAGACCTGTAGCACTTACGTCTGTTGTCATGAAGTCATTTGAACGCCTGGTCCTCTCCCATCTCAAGTCCCTCAACTCCCCCCTCCTGGACCCCCTGCAGTTTGCCTACAGAGCCAACAGATCTGTAGACGACGCCATTAACCTGGCCCTCCACCACATCCTACAGCACCTGGACTCCCCGGGGACCTACGCCAGGGTCCTGTTCGTGGACTTCAGCTCTGCCTTCAACACAATCCTGCCATCCCTGCTCCAGGACAAGCTCTCCCAGCTCAACGTGCCCGATTCCACCTGCAGGTGGATCACTGACTTCCTGACGGACAGGAAGCAGCGAGTGCGTCTGGGGAAGAATGTCTCGGACTCTCGGATTATAAACACAGGAGCCCCACAGGGCTGTGTTCTTTCTCCCCTGCTCTTCTCCCTGTACACCAACCACTGCACCTCCAGCCATGACTCCGTGAAGCTGATCAAGTTCGCGGACAACACCACCCTCATTGGACTCATCTCCAACAACGATGAGTCCGCCTACAGGAGGGAGGTGGACCGGCTGGTGTCCTGGTGTCTCCTACAGGAGGGAGGTGGACCGGCTGGTGTCCTGGTGTCTCCTACAGGAGGGAGGTGGACCGGCTGGTGTCCTGGTGCAGTGGTAACAACCTGTAGCTGAACGCCCAGAAGACAGTGGAGATGATTGTGGACTTCAGGAAGAGCACTGTCCCCCCGCCCCCACCCTCCGTGATGGACTCCCCCATCACCTCTGTGGAGTCCTTCCGTTTCCTGGGCACCACCATCACCCAGGACCTCAAGTGGGAGCCGACCATCAGCTCCCTCATCAAGAAGGCCCAGCAGAGGATGTACTTCCTGCGGCAGCTCAGGAAAGCCAAGCTGCCTGCACAGATGTTGGTGCAGTTCTACACGGCCATCATCGAGTCCATCCTCACCTCCTCCTTCACCTCCTCCATCACCTCCTGCATCACCTCCACCATCACCTCCTCCATCACCTCCACCATCACCTCCTCCATCACCTCCTCCATCACCTCCTCATCACCTCCTCCATCACCTCCTCCATCACCTCCTCATCACCTCCTCCATCACCTCCTCCATCACCTCCTTCATCACCTCCTCCATCACCTCCTCCATCACCTCCACCATCACCTCCTCCATCACCTCCTCCATCACCTCCTCATCACCTCCTCCATCACCTCCTCCATCACCTCCTCCATCACCGTGTGGTTCGCTGGAGCCACAGTCAGGGACAAACAGAGACTACAGCGCATTGTGCGCTCTGCAGAGGAAGTGATCGGCCGCAGCCTTCCATCGCTGCAGGACCTGTACGTCGCCCGAGCTCGAGGCCGGGCTGGTCGTATCACAGCCGACCCCTCTCACCTGCACATGGACTATTCCAACCACTCCCCTCTCACCTGCACATGGACTATTCCAACCACTCCCCTCTCACCTGCACATGGACTATTCCAACCACTCCCCTCTCACCCTGCACATGGACTATTCCAACCACTCCCCTCTCACCCTGCACATGGACTATTCCAACCACTCCCCTCTCACCTGCACATGGACTATTCCAACCACTCCCCTCTCACCTGCACATGGACTATTCCAACCACTCCCCTCTCACCTGCACATGGACTATTCCAACCACTCCCCTCTCACCTGCACATGGACTATTCCAACCACTCCCCTCTCACCTGCACATGGACTATTCCAACCACTCCCCTCTCACCTGCACATGGACTATTCCAACCACTCCCCTCTCACCCCGCACATGGACTATTCCAACCACTCCCCTCTCACCTGCACATGGACTATTCCAACCACTCCCCTCTCACCCTGCACATGGACTATTCCAACCACTCCCCTCAGGCAGGAGGCTGCGGTCCATCAGGACTAGAACCTCCCGCCACAAGAACAGTTTCTTCCCCTCTGCTGTTGGACTCTTGAACACTTCTTAACCTGTCCCCCCGCCCTTTATAAAGTCACTTTACTGCCCATCATACGTCACTTTACTTCACTGTACTGCTGTCACCTTACATTGTGTGCACCATGTGCACTTGTATATTGTAAATAGTAACTGTAACTGTAATTTATTCCTTAGAAGTGTTTTTTATTCTCTGACTGTTGCACTGAGCCAAAGCAATTTCCGAGTCTGTGACTTCCTGTTACCTACGTGGCAATAAAAATGATTCTGATTCTGATTCTGAAATGCTGTCCAATCAGGAATCTGCCGACGTGATTATGGTCAAACCAGTGCTTGTCTTCAAAATATTTCCCTCCTACAGTGATGGCAGGGTTTGCGTTCTAAAAATCACACACTTAGTAAGTAATGTTTATTTATATAGTGTATTTTACAGACCAAGGTACAGATCCAAAGCGCTTTCCAATGTTCAGAGTCAGATATTGTTCCAATCCTTCCACACACGGTGATGACAGAAGCGAGTCCAGAACACACTGGACCATCAAAGCCTCTGACCCAACACCATCCATTCACTCTCTCATTTACATTCAGACCTATTGTGCATGTTTTTAGTGGTAGGGGAAACCGGAGCACCCAGAGGAAACCTACGCAGACACAGGGAGAACCTGCAAACTCCACTCAGAAAAGCCCTGTTTCGACCGGGATTCGAACCCAGGACCTTCTTGTTGAGAAGCGAGAGTGCTAACCAGAGTTATCAAACCTGTTCATTGTAGGTCTGAGCACTGCTGCAGCTGTCAAAAGCCGTGCATACACTGTAAAATACAGCCTCAGAGGACACCGTTAAGGGTCAGGAGCAGGACTGAGGGCTGCGGGAAGGCAGCGGACGTCCTCTGAACGGACCACCGCGGAGCACACAAGACACAAATGTTTTCTTCTGACTTCAAATAAAGGTAACTGTGCTTTGACTTATGAACTGACTCATGGTACTAGCGGTTGTATGATGCTGTGTTCCATGTTGTAGGAATGGGAGAAGCTGTGTTATTGTGAGGCACCATGGTAACTATAATTCCCTTTAATGTAATGTAACACTGATACTATTTTTGCTAATTTTAATATCCTATTTTGTGTTTTTTTTTTTTTCACTATTATTGAAATCCATCTGAACAGTGTCGCGAAACAAAACTAGTTTCTCATCCAGGAGTTTTTCAGCTCTTTTGCAAATCCCCAGATCTAATATGAAATGGTGTAATTCCTCATTTGAAGCATCCAGGAAAGCTCCCCACACTCACCCTCACTCTCTAATGATTCTTCCTGGCTTTTCCTCAGAGCCACATTCCGCACTGCACCCCCCCCCCCTCACTGAACCCGGTCACCCCAGACAGCCCCCTGGCCCCCTGCCTTTGACTTTGACTTGTAAGTTAACAGATAACCTTTCCCTGTATACAAAACCCACCAAGACTTGTCTCTTAAAATGGTTGAAGACATCACACACGGAAGAAGCTGAAGCTGCTGGAAAAGTTTTGACCAGAAGAATGTGTTTTCGCTGCGTAACGGGACGTATGTACAGAGCTATAATTGATATGAAGGTCTATAGTGGAGCAACGTATCTTCCAGGAAAATGTTCCCTGCAAAAAGCTGAGCCAGGAGCTGTAACGTTATTTGGAGAAGTGGCTGTGTAAGTTTGTTCCCAATGTTCAGTCGATTTAGAAGTGCATTTGTTGCTCACAAGTCGATGCCAGAGTACACTGAATGTATTTGTGTTTGAAAGAGCCAAAGACATCATGTTCTATCCCATATGTTACACACACAAAAAGATGTTGACTCAGTCTCTTTGGCTGACTTTATGTGAGCTTTGAATTTGCTCCTTATAGTGAGCAAGAACACTCAGAAATGTGTGCATTTACAGAACTTATCATTGCCATTTCTGTCTAATAATGGAGCAGAATGTTAACATATTCAACAAGTGACATTTACAAACATTTCAATATTCAGTGCCGTGCAAAAGTGTCTCTTGACTCTTGAACTCACTTTTTTTTGTTATGTGAAACAACATGATAAATTATTTTGTCATTTAAAAAAAGTTCAGATATTGTCCTGTATTTTTCTTGATCCTTCATGGTGCTGTTCTCTGAGGCCCTCACAGAACAGCTGTGATCATACCAAGAGAGAACCCTAACTCAGGGCTCTATGCAGTGGTTTGGGAAAGATGTGAGCATTCACGAGAAAAGTAACTGGGTGTTTCACCGAAATCACAAACTGGACTGGAGACATAATTAAGACGACCTCTTCAAGAAGGGCCAGGGCTCTACCTGCTGAGGAGACCCAGGCCTTTTGGAGTACAAAGGCCACTCCTGAAAACCTATGACTCTTTTGCGGCATCAGCCTCTTGTAGCAGCATCTTCAAGAGAGGGACAGGAAGAAGCTGGATGAGGTCATGCTGCTAACGTGTATAAATGTATACAAACAGCTATATATTTCTTGCAATAGAAAACACAGTATTGTATACTTACTTAATTATGCCCAAGTTAGACATTTTATAATGCTGTCTATGTTATTATTGTTCACTAATCTGCTCTGTACTCCTTATTCCTACTGTTCTGTAACTGATGATGCAACACTGAAATTTCCCCACTGTGGAACGGATAAAGGATCTCTTAATCTCACTGACATCACCTTAAGGTGGTTCCTAACTTGTTGTTGTCACAAATAAAACATATTTGGTGTATATTAACAACATATTCCATCCATCCATCCATTTTCTACCCTTTAATCCATTTCTGGGTCAGGGGGGTGGCAGTCAGAGATGCCACCCAAGTCTCATAGCACCAGCCCCTCACTGACCCTCTGCAGGTGGTGAGTCCACAGGAGGCTGCTCTCTGACTGTGAGCATAGCCTTGATCTTTCAGTGGGGGCTTTGGGCAAAGTGGGGTTAAGTGTCTTGCCCAAGGACACAACGACAGCAGTCATCAGTGGGAGTCGGAGAAGGTGTAGAGGTGGGAATTGAACCCACGACCTTCTGGCCTTAAGGCAGAAGGTATATTATAAGGTGTATATTAACAACATATTCTCAAACAAAATGTTTTAGGAAACTTTTAAAACACATCTTTGTGCCAGTTTATATATACTTGAAGCATTTCACTCCCAGAGCCCACAACATCACCATTACACCACCCTGCTCTGTGTTTACCGCCGCATGCAGGACTGGGTGTTTCTGTGCTGCGCAGGGGGAAAAGTGTGCCACGCTTCTTAGAGGGGTAAGACGAGGAGAGGGGAGAGGTGGGGGCAGCGTCAGCCTCAGAAGAGGAGCTGAAGTGAGCACACAGTTGAGGAATGTGGGTGTGGAGCTCTGCCAAGGGCCATATGTGATCCTTATGTTCCCCCAGAGCGGCCTGAGTGCAAAGGCAGCGGGGCCACGTCAGGACACAGGGTGAGAGCCGGGATATGGGCCGAGTCACCAGGTTCATGTGCTCTGCAAACACTTCTACTAATGTATATAGTGCTGGAGGGCCTTTTGTGTGTGTATTTGCATATATATATATATATATATATATATATATATATATATATATATATATATATATATATATATATATATTATATATATATATATATATATATATAATATTATTTATATATATATATATATGGTATACGGCATGTACCACCGGAGCATAATAGAAGTGGCTGATCTCAAGAAGTCCTACCAATGGCTAGAAAGGGCTGGCCTACAGGACAGCACAGAGGCACTCATCATGGCTGCACAGGAACAGGCATTCATTGTGTTTATTATGCTCCTTGAAGCTGGGGCACCTAACTTTCAAACAATGACAAACAATGTCATACAATCCATGTAACTACCTCACTATTGAAACAGTGAACAATACAAATAAACTTGCCATAACACCACCATCTAATGGTGTCAGTGAGAATTTGCAAGAGCCCAATGCAAGCAGTTCCACACATGTTGGAACGTAAACACACAGTTGTAACAAAGAAATGCTCAAAACTCATTTGAAGACAATACATTTGTGGTAACACAAACTAGACATTAATGAACGCATTCATTTATAATTATTGCATCCTTTAAATAATGATAATTAAGTCACTAATGATTCATACAATTCAAACACAGTTAATCTATAAATGACCTTCATTAATGATGATCATCTTGAGTTGAACAGTGAACATGAACTCATCACAGTCAAAATGAACCTGCTGTTTCAGACGTTTTAGTGATTCTGATCAATTATTGAATGTCTCAACATTTTAAGTCCCAGTTATACCTTATGAGAAGGGGCTTGTTGTTTGCCCTGGATCAACTTGACTTTCTAAAGAAGAAATATACCGCACTATTTTTGTCCATCCACCCATCCATCCATTTTCTTCCCCTTAATCCATTTCTGGGTCGGGGGGTGGCAGTCAGAGCTGCACCCAGTACTCAGAGCACCAGCCCCTCACTGATCCTCCTGCAGGTGGTGAGTCCACAGGAGCCTTGAGTGTCTTGCCCAAGGACGACAGCAGACATCAGTGGGAGTCTTGAAGTGGGGACCTACTCAAACTGCTCCCACTAATGTCTGCTGTCGCTGTGTCCTTGGGCAACACACTTAACCCCACATTGCCTGAAGCCCCCGCTGAAACACCATCGCTGACGGAGCAGCCATCTTCCTGTGGACCCACCACCTGCAGAGGATCAGCGATGGGCTGCTGCTATGAGCATTGGGTGGCAGCTCTGAGTGTCGCCCCCCCGACCCAGAAAAAAGACTGAGGCTGTAGATCTAAGACTGAGGCTGTAGATCTAAGACTGAGGCTGTAGATCTAAGACTGAGGCTGTAGATCCAGGACTGAGGCTGTAGATCTAGTACTGAGGCTGTAGATCTAAGACTGAGGCTGTAGATCCAGGACTGAGGCTGTAGATCTAAGACTGAGGCTGTAGATCCAGGACTGAGGCTGTAGATCTAGTACTGAGGCTGTAGATCTAAGACTGAGGCTGTAGATCTAAGACTGAGGCTGTAGATCTAAGACTGAGGCTGTAGATCCAGGACTGAGGCTGTAGATCTAGTACTGAGGCTGTAGATCTAAGACTGAGGCTGTAGATCCAGGACTGAGGTTGTAGATCAAGGACTGAGGCTGTAGATCTAGTACTGAGGCTGTAGATCTAGTACTGAGGCTGTAGATCTAAGACTGAGGCTGTAGATCCAGGACTGAGGCTGTAGATCTAAGACTGAGGCTGTAGATCTCGGACTGAGGCTGAGGATCCAGGACTGAGGCTGTAGATCTCGGACTGAGGCTGAGGATCCAGGACTGAGGCTGAAGATCCAGGCTGTTGCAGGGCCTCCATTCCCACCGCTGATAGATTGTACAATAAGTCACTTCAAGATCTGCACAAGGACTGTAAACTCATACTTATAAAATACCTTTTTTGCACAAAAGTTACTGTTTCCTGTTGCTTGCACATTTAATGTCTTTTTGCACACCCTGAAAGATCCCATTAATTGATCCCCCATAGGTGACATTCAGGTGTCCAGCAGCAGAAACACACATGAATTAGGAATGTTTCTAACCCTAACCCTAACCCAAACTAAAGTGCACATGTTCAACTCTCATACATCTCGGACTGAGGCTGGAGATATCAGATTCAAGCTTTAGATCCAGGACTGGGGTTGAAGATCCAGGACTGGGGCTATGAAGTGGGGAAGGGGGTGCAACAATCTTAAATCACATTATAAAACCATCCATCCATCCATTTTCTTCCCCTTAATCCATTTCTGGGTTGGGGGGGTGGCAGTCAGAGCTGCACCCAGTCACAGAGCACCAGCCTCTCACTGATCCTCCTGCAGGTGCTGAGTCCACAGGAGCTGAGATCTTTCAGTGGGGGCTTCAGGCAAAGTAGGGTTAAGTGTCTTGCCCAAGGACACAACGACAGCAGTCATCAGTGGGAGTCGTGAAGTAGGCCTTACGGTGGGCTCGAACCCACGACCTTCAGGCCCAAAGGCCAAAGCTCTACCAACTGAGCTACTGTCTATAATAATTTATAATAATTATAAAACCTCTCAGAGTAAATCCACGCTGCTGTAACACGGCCCTGTGCTGTGAGGACGTATGCGTTTAGGCCATGTCAGGACAAATCCTCATTGTATAATTCCTTGTAAAGTCTTTGAAAACAAACGATCCAATCCTTCATTTGAAGACGATACACTACTTTGAAGCAACGATTAAAATGAATCATCAACGTGACCTCAAACTCATTCCTGGATGAGTCAATATTTACCAAGACAAGGAGTGTGCATGTGCGCTGTGGTCGGCCTCATTTCTGTTACTTTCTGTTTGAGGAAAACATTTTTTTTTTCAAACTCACAAAAAATGCCTGGCGTAACAGCATGTGTTGATTCAACGGTGTTGTCCTCAGGCCAATATGAAGGAACAGTGATGATCTTGAGAATGTTATGTATAATTATTATAAGTATAGTGGGTGCAGAAGTGGTGCAAATGCAAACACAGCAGGTGGGAATGACATTTTAACCAAAACCTACACAATAATTCCCAAAATATAATTGATTAAAGAGATTATTATAGCTATTGTCTAACACAGCTGTGGCCGAGGGTTGATAGAATAATATAATTTTGTATATATTTAGGGTAATATTATTAGGTTAACAGGTTTGTAATTAATTCTATTCAATTTATTTGTGTATTTGTCCTCAAATCCTTTGCCGTTCCTCCTCTTTCTGTGTTCGGTCCCCAAATACTTGCTAGACTTTCGGCCCAAGTTTCCAGGCTGTTATGCAGTTAGAAATAAGTGGAGCACACATCGCAGAATAGAGATAACGTTTTCACAAATGGTCTGAAATTTCCCCACTGTGGGACAAATAAAGGTCTTTCCTAAAGTGCATTTGCATTTGCTGTGTCTGACTGACACAGAGCCAGTTTGGAGCCAAAGCACGAGCACAGATGTGGTTATGTTTACAACATCACGCTGACAGCAACACGTATTCTCAAAATAGCAACAGGATTTCCCTTGAACCTTGGATTACAACACGCAGGCATGTGATCCAAGCAGAGACCAGCTCTTGACTTAATCGGCTGCTTACAGTCGTTATGCACTATGTCATATTAGTCGTTATTAGCCCGTTCATCCGTGTGGGAGCGGATCCCTTTCTCAAACCCTGGGTCTCCCCGAGGTTTCTCACTTTTTCCCACTGGGTTTTTCTTATGAGTTTTTCCTCTGATGCAGGAGGGTCTGTTGGACAGTTAGTGTCCAACTAGAAGGACTGTGATGATCCAGGACACTTTAACATTTATCAACATGTATGACATTTATCAACATGTATGACATTGGTCTCTCCTACGGACCAACACATATGTGGATATGTTGTGTCTTAACTGTTGATTCTCTGATCTGTGTTGATTTCAATGGTTTTGTTAAATCCTCTGAGATGACTTCTGTCGTGATTTAGGGCTATACAAGAATAAGTTGTTGTTGATGATGATGTCTGCAAACAATGTCCAGATTTGGACTGCAGGATTGTTGCAAAAATAATTGAATAGCAATTTGTCAAAGTGTAAGAATTTGTTTTGAGTGCATCTATCGTAAATTATCTATCATTATCTATCATTATTATCACTATTATTTTTTACAGCATGCTTCTGGAAAACTCTTTGCTTGGTACTCGTCCCCAAGGTAGCAAGGCCGACAGACAGCAAGGACTACAGACTGCAAGGACTACAGACTGCAAGGACTACAGACAGCAAGGACTACAGACTGCAAGGACTACAGACTGCAAGGACTACAGACTGCAAGGACTACAGACTGCAAGGACTACAGACTGCAAGGACTACAGACTGCAAGGACTACAGACTGCAAGGACTACAGACTGCAAGGACTACAGACTGCAAGGACTACAGACAGCAAGGACTACAGACTGCAAGGACTACAGACTGCAAGGACTACAGACTGCAAGGACTACAGACTGCAAGGACTACAGACTGCAAGGACTACAGACTGCAAGGACTACAGACAGCAAGGACTACAGACTGCAAGGACTACAGACTGCAAGGCCGACAGACCAGTCGCACTAACGTCTGTCATAATAAAGACTTGAGAGGCTAGTTCTCCGACTGCTCATGCCGCGGGTGGAGCAGGCTCTTGACCCCCTGCAGTCTGCCTATCAGGAGAACATGGGAGTGGACGACGAGGTCCTCGACATGCTCTGTGTCCTTCCTGGATGGCCCTGGAGGATATGTTAGGTTGATGTTCTTTGACTTGTCCAATGCATTTAACACCATCCAACCTCTCTTACGGAGGGAGAAACTGGAGAGTTCATCCCATCTTTACCAACTGGATTTACAACTACCTCACTGTGAGGTCACAGTATGTCAGGTTAGGGAAGAGCGTGTGTGGGTACTGTTCTGGCTCCCTTCCTCTTCACTGTTT